TAGAAGGTACTTGTGCAAATGATATTAATTTTGAAACATCCAAAATCTTGAAATAGCCGCCAATTCGGCTTAATTTCAAATAATCCATGCAGCTGTTAGGTGACCAACATATGTTTAAAGTCAAGCACAATGGAGCGTGGTTAGTATTTGCATGGGAGACTCCCCGAGGAAACGGGCGTTGCATTTATTTTTTTTTCGTTTATCACACACATGGAGAAAATATAAGGCAACGTTCCTGCATTTTCTTCTACTGTGATGTCAATCATTTATATTGGAAAATCGTGAATTTTTTGTAATTTTTTTAGTTAATGGAAAGTTTTCAAATTCCTTCTAATTTTCATGGCCAAGTTGTGATGATGTCGGTACGTAGTGGGTTTGAAGCTGTTAACGCACCGTGGAAAGTTGTTCAAAGTAATTGCAAAGTTGTGCAAAGTTATTGCAAAGTTGGTAGATGTATCTGCATATATGACCTAAGTTGTTGGCATATAGAAACGCGCAGTTGTAAACTCAACAAATTTAGTAAAACCCAGTTGAAAACATCCTATAGATGTTCACAGCAGCTGACTGTAAAATGTTAGAAAACAGCGTGCAAAGTTGGAAAAAAACGAAGGAAATGTTGGCGGAGTTGCTCGTATATTTAACCTAAGTCATTTTCATGATAACCCCGCAGTTAAATTTCGAAAAGATTCTGTAAATGTATCGAGAATGTCTCATATATGAGCAGATTATCACAAGAGCCAACCAAAAAATCGACAACAAACTGCTAACAAAGTTGTGAAAAGCGATTGCAAAGTTGGTAATTTCATTCGGGATTGTTACCTGTGATATCATATTAACAAGACACATAGTTAAAAATTCGAAAATGTGAATACATTTTTTGTGAATTGCTGTTAAATTACCGTAGTGTTACTCCAAGTATGTAGAGGTCATAGGTCGATTCTAGAAGGTACTTGTGCAAACGATATTAATTTTGAAACATCCAAAATCTTGAAATAGCCGCCAATTCGGCTTAACTTCAAATAATCCATGCAGCTGTGTGGTTACGTGAGCGACAAATGATTAAAGTAAAGCACAATCGGGCGTGGTTAGTACTTGCATGGGAAACTCTCCGAGAAAACCGGCTGTTGCATTGATTTTTTTTTCGTTTATGACGCACATTGAGAGGATATAAGGCAACGTTCCTGCATTTTCTTCTACTGTGATGTCAATCATTTATATTGGAAAATCGTGGATTTTTGTAATTTTTTTAATTAATGGAATGTTTTCAAATTCCTTCTAATTTTCAAGACCAAGTTGTGATGATGTCGGCACGTAGTGGGTTTGAAGCCGTTAACGCACCGTGTAAAGTTGTTCAAAGTGACTGCAAAGTTGTGCAAGTTATTGCAAAGTTGGTAGATGTATTTGCATATATGACCTAAGTTGTTGGCATATAGAAACGCGCAGTTGTAAACTCGACAAATTTAGTAAAACCCAGTTGAAAACAGCCTATAGATGTTCACAGCAGCTGACTGTAAAATGTTAGAAAACAGCGTGCAAAGTTGGAAAAAACGAAGGAAATGTTGGCGGAGTTGCTCGTATATTTAACCTAAGTCATTTTCATGACAACCCCGCAGTTAAATTTCAAAAACATTCTGTAAATGTATCAAGATAGTCTCATATATAAGCAGATTATCACAACAGCCAACCAAATTATCGACAACAAACTGCTAACAAAGTTGTGAAAAGCGATTGCAAAGTTGGTAATTTCATTCGGGATTGTTACCTGTGATATCATATTAACAAGACACATAGTTAAAAACTCGAAAATGTGAATACATTTTTCGTGAATTGCTGTTAAATTACCGTAGTGTTACTCCAAGTATGTAGAGGTCATAGGTCGATTC